GCACATGACTGCCTAGTGGTATTATCACTGGACTGTTAATCCAGAGGCCCAGGTAATGTTCTGGTATCAGGTTCAAATCCCACCATGGCAAGTAGTAGAATTTGACTTCAATAAAAAATTTGGAATTAGTAGTCTAATGATGATGATGAATCCATTGCTGATTGTTGGGAATAACCCCATTTGGTTCACTAATGTTCTTTAGCGAAGGAAACTGCCATCCTTACCTGATCTGGCCTACATGAGACTCCAGACCCACAGCAATGTGGTTGACTCTAAACTGCCCTCTGGGCAATTAGGGATGGGGAATAAATGTTATCTGAACCAGCAATGCCCTCATCATGGGAACGGATAAGAATAAATTAAGAGCCTCTTTTTCTATCAAAATAAAAATTTCCAATACCCAATATCCAGTTCATACCCAAATTTGAACTTTAATTCTGTTTCTCTCCGTCCACAGATGCATCAGACCTGCTGAGTTTCTTCAGCATTTTCTGTAATTGTATCAAATTTCCAGAATCCACAATATTTTGCTTTCATCAGGTCACATGGATCTGGAGGCTGAGTCAACAGCATTCCAGAAGGTTATCGAAAAGTAGAAAGAGAAACTACTGGAGAAACTCAGCAGGTCTGGCAGAAGAGAGAAACAGAGTCTGATATGACTCTCCTTCAGAAATTCTCTTCCCAGCTTTTAAATAGAGTTGTAATTATTAATGTTAATGTTCACTTAAAAAAAAGTGTGGACTTTATCTTACTATAGACATAGCAGGAAAGTAACGTCAAGATTCCAAGACAGACCTTCTCCAAATGACTGGTCCAGTAGGATGATAGATCGAATGGCCACTGCTCCTGCTCCTTATATTATGTTGAGAGGTCACAATTGCTGACTCTGGCTGGGAACAATCCAGCAGGCTTTCTCACATGATCATTTACCTCCAAATGTCCGATTGTCCAAAAACCCGATGTCAGCCCCTCACCACTTCCCAGACCCCACTTTTGGTCACCTCACATACTCAGTCGAGATAGGGCTCACCATCACATTGCTGGTTGTGGCAGCTTGCTGTGAGCAAATTGGCTGTTGCATTTCCTGCATTCCCAGAGGGACTAAACTTCCAAAGCGTTTCATTGTCCATGAAGGGCATTGAGACCATCCTATTGTTGTGTAAAGTGCTAGACAGGCGGTCTGTAAGTTCCAATGGGGATTGATTTGCATGCAAGTCAGAACATCAGGGAGGACAATGTAAATGGACGTTCTGTAAGTACAGGAAATGTTCGTAGCTCGAGTCAATAAAATTGCACCCATGTATATTGCTTTGCATTCATAAGTACGAACATTTGTAAGTCAAACTTTCATACACTGGGGATGTTGCTGTGTAAGTATGAGTATTTCTTTTTCCACGGCCAAAAGCAAGTGAGACGAAAGTGATTTTGTTGCTTCTCTTTGGATTGGCTAATTCTAGACTGCTGCCAAAAGACCATCTTAAACATATGTGTTTTGGATTTTTTTTTGTTTCTGCTGGCAACAATGCAGGGGAGAGTAAACCTGCAATTTCGCGAGACTCCAGCGAGTGATTGTGCTGGGTTGATTTGATTTGATTTATTATTGTCACATGTACCTAGGAACAGGGAAAAGTTTTGTTCTGCGTGCAGTACAGACAGATCATACCATACAAAGTGCATTCGGGTAATAGAACAGAGCGAGGAATACAATGTTGTGGCTGCAGAGAAGGGGCACAAAGAGGGAGTTCAACATTAAATTTAAAATTTGAGAGGTCCATTCAGAAGTTTAATAACAGCGGGGAAGAAGCTGTTCTTGAATCTGTTGGTGCATGTGTTTAAGCTTTTGTGCCTTCTGCCCAACGGAAGAGATTGGAAGAGATTATAACCGGGGTGGGAAGGGTCTTGATTATGTTGGCTGCCTTCCCAAGACATAGAGAAATATAGATTGAGACAATGAAAGGAAGGTTGGCTTGGGTGATGGACTGGACTGTGTTCACAACTCTCTGTGGTTTCTTACAGTCCTGGGCTGAGCAGTTGCCATACCCAGCTGTGATGCATCCCAATAGAGTGCTTTCTATGATGCATCTATAAAAATTGGTAAGAGTCTTTCCAGACGTGCCAAATTTCCTCAGCCTCCTGAGGAAGTAGAGACATTGTTGTGCTTTCTTGGCCGTTGTATCAGTGTGGGTGGACCAGGATAGATTGTTGGTGATCGTCGTTCCCAGGAACGTGACGCTCTCGACCATCTCCACCGCAGCACCATTGATGCAGACAGGGACGTGCCCCCCAGTCTGCTTCATGAAGTCAATGGCCAGCTCCTTTATTTTACTGACATTGAGGGAGAGATTGTTGTCTTTACACCATGACATGAGGCACCCTATCTCTTTTCTGTACTCTGTCTTGTCGTTGTTTGAGATCCAGCCTATAAAGGTGGTGTCGTTGGAGAACTTGCAGATGGAGTTGGGGTAGACTTTGGCCACACAGTCGCGAGTGCATAAGGAGTAGAGTATGGGGCTGAGTAGGCAGCGTCGTGGGGCATTTCGTATGGCTGAGGTGTCAATAACCAGAGGATGTAGATTTGAGGTGATTAGTAAAGGAAGCATCAGAGAAAATTTGTCTGACGCCGTGGGTGATCAGAATTTGGAAGATGAAACAAAGCCAGCAAAGAAAAGGATGAGCTAACAAGAACTGGAGGTAGTACAATTTACCTAAAAGCAGAATGCTGCAGATGCTGGCAATCTGAAATAGAAACAGAAGGTTCTGGAGAAAGACTATACGTGGAGAGACAGACATTTCGAGACCAATGTGACTCCTTTTTGAAACTGAGAGAGGTGGAAATGTGATGGGTTTGATGTTTTGAGCTTTGAGCACAGGAGTTGGGACGTTGTGTTGAGGTTGTACAGAATGTTGGTGAAGCCTCTTCTAGAGTACTATGTGCAGTTCTGGTCACCCAGTTATAGGAAGGATATAATTAAGCTGGAGAAAGTTCAGAAAAGATTTACCAGGGCGTTGCCATGAGTGGAGGATTTGAGTTATAAGGAGAGGCTGGATACACTGGAACTTTTTTCGCTGGAGCGTAGGAGGTTGAGGCGTGACATTTATAAAATCATGAGGGGTACAGATAAGGTGAATGGCAGGTGTCTCTTCCCTAGAATTGGGAACTTCAAGACTAGGGGATATATTTTTAAGGTGAGAGGAGAAGGATTAAAAAAGATATGAGAGGCAATTGTTTTTACACAGAGAGTTGCTCATCTATAGAATGTACTTCCAAAGTGGTGGATGCAGCTATAGGTACAATGTTTTAAAGACATTTGGATTTGTACGTGAATAAGTTATGCTTGGAGAGATGTGGGCCAGAAGAAAGCAGGTGGGACTAGTTTAGTTTGGGATTATGTTTGACATGGACTGGTTGGACCCAAGGCTCTGTTTCCATGCTGTAAGACTCTATGACTCTATAACACTCCTTCAGAATTGTCATACCAAACTCGAAACATTAACCCTGTTTCTCTCTCCACAGATGCCACCAAACTTGCTGAGTTTCTCCAGCAATTTCAGATTTTGTTTCAGATTTCCAGCTTCTGTAGTATTTTGCTTTTATTACCAAAGAGAACTCCCCTTTTCCACTCCCCTTCGTCCTGCCACCGCACCCCGACTATAAATGTACTTCAGGGAAGGAAAACTCGACATGACTCCAGACCCACAGTGATGTGTTTGCCTTCTAACTGCCTTCTGAAATGGCCAAAGGGCTCGGTACCAGTCCTTGCCAACAATGCCCATATCCCACAAAAGAAGAAGGAGAGGAAATAGTTGGGTGATTACAGATGTCACTGCAAACGTTCTCTCACAGACCAGTTCACATTTGACTGATTGGAAATTCGAGAACTAAGGGGCATAGTCTGAGAATTAGAAAGCACTTCTACACACAAAGGGATGGTAGATGTTTGGAACTCTTTTCCACAAACAGTGCTGGATGCAGGACCAGTTGTTCATTTTAAATCTGAGAGAGATAAATTGTTTGTTAAACAAATGGCATTCAGGGATATAGGTCACAGGCAGGTGTATGGAGTTAGACCACAGATCGGCCACAATCCCATTGAGCAGCGCAACAGGCTCGAGGGGCTGAATGGCCTACTCCAGTTCCTAAATTCTTCAGTCACTGCAGTCCCATTGGGTTGCTCTGTCATTAGAGAGAGATTGGTGGTGATTAAATAGCCCTCAGGCGAGCGGTGGGGTAGGGTTTGAGAAGATGGGACCTTCCTGGTAACTGCAGCTGGTGTGAGATTTGAACCCCTGTTGTCGGTGTCACGCTGCAATGCAAACCGGGCTAAGGTTACTCCTTCTCAGCCTCTCCCCTTGCCTGAGGGCTGGTGACCCCCTGGGGTAAACTATCACCAGTCCCCCCCTCTCTCTCTCTCTCTCTCTGTGTGAGAGAGTGGTCCTCTGGGGGTGGTGACAGCTAACTGACCCTTGGCCTGTACCCTCCCCATGTCGGTTTTTGATTGTCAGTCGACAGCAATAACCGTTGGCGACAGCTTCGAATATCGCCCAGTGTGGGGCTGGGGAGAGGGAGGACGAGAGAATGTGGATGATTAACCGGAGAGATTACCCAGTAGGAAGCCAAAACAAGGTAAAAATTTCAGCCAGGCATATGACTGCTCCCATGATCAGGAACCAGCCAGTCTGGTTCAGCAGGTAATGCAGAGTTGGTGGTGTAAACTCCCTTAAAGATCACGCCAAAGGTCACTTTGTGCAAATACCAGTTTAATTTCATTTGCCATTGAGTGGGTGTTGGGGAGGCAGGGGGGAGGGGGATCAAGAGGTGAGACAGAAAGGGGCAACTACTGTGTGTAGACTTGAGTGCATTCAAGGGGACAGATGGCATTGACTTGCTGCATTAACACGTTAAAAGTTTCACATAAAACATGCCCGAACCTCCTCAATCTTAAACCCCGGAGCCTTCACATTCCCACTTGCTGCTCTTTGGCTGTTCCTCACTATCCTTTTCTTTTGATTTCCAGAGCAAAGGAAGAAATATTCAAATTCCAACTTCATCATGGACGACGAGTCGCAGTACTACGTCAATGTAAGTCATCCTCATCATCTGATTTCATTTTCCTTGTCTTGCGAACATTGAAAGCTCCTCTTCCTCAGAGGCCTCGTTACTCAGGTCAACATACCCCCTCCCTTCTCCTCACCCTCCTCCATTAAAAACAACTGTCTGCCGCCTCCTGCTGGGTGACAGGGCAATCGACAGCGTTGGCCTCCGACTCCCTCCCTCCACCATGTGCTCGGTGACACAGGACAGATGCAGAGCTGCCTCCGGGAGTTAGCCCTGCTGCTCTGGAAGAACAAGACTGGGAGATCCTCACAAAGCCTCAGTTCGCCTCCGACTTCACTCCAGTCCTAGTTCATCCACTGCCAAGACCCTCACCCGTGCCCCTTGACTCGAACGTTCCTCCGCACTCACTGCTGTCTCACATTCGCCGTAGACCTGAGGTCATTCCAAAACTCCGAAGCCCATGGATTAACTCGCATCGAGTCCTGTTCCCCGTTCACCTCCCCCCCATGTTCCCTATTAACCTAGATTGGCATCTGGTCAAGTGATATATTGATTTTAAGATGATCATTTCTGTTTTTAATTCTGATCACCCGTCTTGTCTCCTCCTATCGCTGTAGTCCCTCCACATCCCTATCCTCCCTCTAATTCTGGCCTCTTGAACATTCATGGTCTTAATTTCTCCATTGTTGGTGACTTTGGCTTCAGTCAGTTGGATGTTAAGGACTTGAATTCCCTCTGGGTACCTATCCACTATGTCAATAAATAAAAGCCTACCTCCTGGTCTATGTTTCTGGCCACATAACCTAATGCCTCCTCATGTGGCTCCAGGTCATGTCCTGTCTTTTGCTCTTGTGAAGCACCCTGGAACATTTTATTCCGTTAAAGGTGTTAGGTAAAAACAGGTTGTTGTTGCCTAAGTTGAAACTTTGTACATGGAGGGGGTTGGGACTTTAAACCTAATGAAGGGGCTTTAAAGGGACAACATGGCGACTACCCCACTAAGGACCCTTTAGCAGTGAGGAAATGTTCACAGGTGAATATTTTCAGAGATTTCGCTGTAAAAGGTGAAATAACTCCACAGCGGCCAGTATCCCATGGCAGAGACACCGTTTATTTACATGTGGAGAGCCCCTGACACAGAACTAACTCCTACAGAACCAGCTCTCAGATACTCCTGTTCGTATCTGTCAGCCAGGGCTCCCTGATTGGACCAGATGAACAGCCCCAATCAGGGAACTCATATTCTAGGAGGTCCATCCAGCTGACCTTGTTACAATCACTAGAGAAGGCAGATGGGGAAGGAATGCTCCCTTGACCCCCACAGCCCTCATGGTTGATGCTCTCCAGCTGCCTGATTCCCTGACTCTTGGGGGGGCTGTAACCTTTGGGTTTTAGCAAGTGTCAATGGAAGCAAGACCAGTGCCACCAATGAGGCCTGGTGATGTAGGCTTTAGGGCCAATCTTGATTTGTCAGGTCACTCTAAAAAGGCCTGGGTTAATGGCTGATCAACACCCACAATTCATATTGATGGCACAATATGTTGGCGCACCTTTATCAGTCCCACAGTGGAGGATGGAACTGGACACTCATAGCTCTCTCGATTAATAGGTTTATTTACAGCATGCAGCATTACAAATACCATTTTCCAATCAGTTAGCAGTCTCTGTTTATGTTGCCTTAAATTATCCAATTGAACCACATTAAAACGTCACAGCCCCTTAAAGTCACTGTAGTTTGCTGAGGAGGTGATGGCCTAATGGTATTATTGCTAGGCTATTAATCCAGAGACCCCCTCAGGTCATGTTCCGGGGACCCAGGTTCAAATCCTGCCAGGGCAGATAGTGGAACTTGAATTCAGTAAAAATCTGGAATAAAGAGTTCAATGATGACTATGAATCGATTGTTGGAAAAGCCCATTGGGTTCACTAATAAACCTGATTTGGTAACTCGGCACCAGCAGCAGACTCGTAATTGCCCCCTAGATGGGCAAAGCTGAGAGGGCAGGTCCTTTGTGGTCATCTCAGCCACTACAGAAATGTGTTGAAAATCACTCTGCATTGCAAACCAGCAATGCAACCCAACTGAGCTAACCATCTCCACATTTAAGTAATACAAGTCAAAACTCAAGGAAAATATGCTCATTTAAGTCAATGTCTTGTTTAGCACTGGCGCCTCACACAGCCAGAGATCCGGGTTCGATTCCACCCTCGGGTGACTGTCCATGTGGAGTTTGCGTGGGTTTCCTCCGGGTGCTCCGGTTTCCTCCCACAGTCCAAACACGTACAGGTTAGGGTGGATTGGCCGTGCTGAATTGCCCCATAGTGTCCAAGGATGTGCAGGCTAGGTGGGTTAGCCATGGGAAATGCAGGGTCACAGGGATAGGTGGGGTGGGGGATGTGGGCCTGGGTGGGGTGCCCTTTGGACGGTTGGTGCAGACTCGATGGGCTGGATGGCCTCTGTGATTCTGGGGAACTGATAATGCAATCCAGCCCCTGTAGTGCCCACCAGCCTTGGAAGTCCTTAGACCCCCCGTGCTCTCTCTCTAGGGACACAGCGGCTTGGCTATAACAACAGTTAGGGATAATGAGTGGGCCTGGACCTGTTAATGATCACCTTCACCAGGCACATAAGGAGGTCCATGGCTCTGCCTTCCCCTGTCCATCCCAAGTGCCCAAAGATCAGGAGCATAGGACTGCAGTGCTTAGCCCCTTCAGTATCTCTTTATGCCCTTTTGAATAATCAAATTAAACCAAAATACAATCAGCTTTAAAGGTGGCAGCTCCTGAAGCTTTGTGAGGCAATCAGACTCTCAATTTCCACATTTTAATTCAACATTAGATTTGGGAACTCAAGAGGCATTGGAGCCCCTGCGATGCCCATCAGTCACGGAAATAAACCCTCTTTGTGCTATTTGATTAATCGCATCAAATTGAATTAAATAAACAACTGACAGGCCATTAAAAAGGCCCTGCCCTAAAAGAAAATCCCAAAAGGAAACTTGCAAATCAAAATTTGGATACACAGACTGATAATGAATGCCAGCCCCTGCACCGCCCTCTGTCATGAAGCAAGCATCTCTTTATACAATTTCGGGAACAAAAATATTCTTCGCTCAAAAGCCAACCAGTGTAAATGTCGATCACAGAAGACTGTGGTGGCCAAGTCACTGAAAATATTCACAAACCAGACAGATAAAGTTTTAAATTTAAACCGCATCAAGGGGTTTGAAGAGAATGCGAGAATATGACATTAAGGATAGTATTGAAAGGTTCGAAGGGCTGAATGGCCTACTCCTGCTGCATGTTATGTTTCTAAGAAAATAAGCAATGAAGCCACTTCAACCAAAATTAACATTCCCTCTAAAGGACACTGCAACAAAGGGCAAAACCCCAACTGAAGCTTCTATCTTGTCAGTCAAAACATGGCTTTGAGAATGGTTTTGCGCCCTAGTCCCTGCTGTGTTTGCAGAAGGAGTCTTTCTTCATTGGGGCTCTTAATTCTTAATTAAGCAATGTCCTCTAACTGTTTCAATCATAAAACTAACATAAAATGAACAACACTTACCCCTGGACCGAGAGACCCAGGTTCAAGTCCCACCTGCTCCTGAGGTGTGTAATAACATCTCTGAACAGATTGATTAGAAAAATAGGTTAAATAGAAATTAAAGGATAAATATAGGGGGCCCTCTTGTGGAGCAGTGGTATTGTCCTTACCCCTGGACCAGGAGGCCTGGGTTCAAGCCCCACCTGCTCCAGAGGTGTATAATAAAATCAATGAACAGGTTGACTAGGAAAATAGAGATAGTAAGAACTGCCAATGCTGGAGCCAGGGATAACACAGCATGAAGAAGGGTCCTGACCCAAAACATCAGCTTTCCTGCTCCTCTGATGCTGCCTGGCCTGCTGTGTTCCCCCAGCTCCACACTGTGTTATCTCTGATTAGGAAAATAGGCTGAATTTCTGTTTGAAAGAAACAATACTGACATTTCACTTTACTTCACAATATTGCAATATTCCCCCTTGTTCCTGCAATGCTAATTTCTCTTCCATTCCTATTTTCTCCCTTTCTCTTACTCCCTGCCTCTTGTTACTTTGGTCCCGTCAGCACCTGACCACCTTCCCATTGGGTCCTGGGGAGGAGACACAAACTGTGGAGGAGTCTATCAAAAAGATGAAGACCCTGGACAGCAAAGGAAGGATCTGGACCCAGGAAATGCTGCTGCAGGTCAACAATTCGGCCGTCAGCTTGGTGGACATTGAATCCAAGGTACGCCACGAGTTACCATTCCTCATGGGACGCGAGCATCGCTGATTTGCTGTGGAGAAGGTTGTGGTGAGCCGCTCCTTTGAACACAATTCAATGGCCATTTCAGAGGGTCTGTAAAGTCTAGAACATAAAAACCAGGAGCAGGAGCGGGCCACTCTGCCCCTCAAGCCTGCTCTGACATTCAACATGATCCTGGCTGATCTTATCTCAGCCTCAATTCCACTTTCCGACCTGCTCTCCCTAACCCTTCAACCCATCAGTAATTAACAGTCTGTCCCTCTCCTCCTTAAATTTATTCGATGTCCCAGCATCCATCACAGTCTGGAGAGTGCATTTCAAAGATTCACGGCCCTCCAAGAGACCTAATTCCTCCTCGTCTCCATTTAAAATGAGACACGTGTTGAGGCAGACCAGCTATACTTCCTTGAAAGACATTATTGAATGAGAAAGGCCTTTTGCAACAAGCCAGCATTTGCATGATCTGAGCTGTATGTTCCACATTTTGATTGAATTAACTACGTTGACGTTCTCAAGCTGCGGTGGTGGGGTTTGAACCCACATCTTTCGAGCATCAGCCCAGGCCTCTGGTTGACTACTCCATCACTATAACCATGATACAGCCACTGGCACTGCCTAGAGATCACCCAAGGCAGAGATTCACAGACTGTGGGTCACAATTCCCTGTGAGGTCGCAGAACGTGTGACTGGGGGCATGGTCTCTGAGGCAGATAATGGGAACTCTGGAGTAAAGACTCAGATTTGATCAGCTGCAAGGTCCCTTTAAGCAGGTGTGTCTTTTTGGCCCGCGTACACAGTGCAATCCCATGAGCTGTGACAAGATTGGAGCCTGCTCTCTGAACCCTCACCCCACTTAAACACACAGCCGACAGGGTTGGGCCAAGTGTGAAAACCCCATTTAAACGCACATCTGGGGTTGAGCAGGGTGCAGGCTCAAACAACAAGTGATACTGACAGGCAGAAACAGAAAGTGCTGGCAGCATCTGTGGTGAGAGAGAAAAACACAAGAAAGTTAACATTTCAAGACCAGTGACCAGTTCTGAAGAAGGGCTCAAGGTGGAAACTCCGTTTTTCCCTCTCTCTCTCTGCTGCCAGACCCACTGCGTTTCTCCAGCAATTTCTGTCCTTGTTTTGGAACTCTGATGTCTACTGTTCTTTGCTTTAAGATCATAGAATCCCTACAGTGTGGAAACAGGCCCTTCGGTCCAACAAGTCCACACCGACCTTCAGAGCATCCCACCCAGACCCATCCCCCTAACCTACACATCCCTGAACACTATGTGCAATTTATCATGGCCAATCCACCTAACCTGCACATCTTTGGACTGTGGGAGGAAACTGGAGCACCCGGAGGAAACCCACACAGTCAGTCACCTGAGGGTGGAATCGAACCCAGGTCCCTGGTGCTGTGAGGCAGCAGTGCTAACCACTGAGCCACTTTAAGGTGAGAGATACTGGCAGGCACTGAAAGGAAAACAGTTTGGGAAGCAGAGAAGGGGCTAGAGCAGGGCCATTCCACTAAGGTTGAGAATTAGATTTCCACACAAATGTGGGCCAGATGGACCTTTCTGTCTCCATGACGTATGAGAAGTTGTCTTCTGATTTGGTGCTTTTCCCACTCAGGATGAACTGGAGACTTACCCGCTGGATGCGATCAAGCACTGTGACTCACTGCTGGACAGCTGGAGGTTTAACTCAATCCTTATCCTCGTGTGCAAGGAAGCTCACCAGGCGAATCCCGATATCCACTTCTTCCAGTGCTCCGAGGTCGGGGTGAGTGTAGGAGCCAAGGTGGGGAAAGCACCAGCCTCATTTCTCTCCGGCCCCCTCACAATTTGGGGAGGGGGGGTGGTGGGCACCTTCGACGGGGTATTCCGGTTTGCCAGCCTCTGCACTGCCCTGCCCCAGCTTCGCATCTATCACCCCACCCTGGCTACAATCATGATCATGACTGTATTGCTCTGTGTTTGGTTACACTTGCCCTGTTGGCTGACCTACACTCACTGTGCTCGATTGGTTAAGCCTGGGTGTGGACTCAGAGCAAAGCAGATACGCCGTAGAAAGGGCTGGAAGCCGGAGCTGAGCACGGAGCAGACATTTTAAAGCATTGTGCATAAAAATAAAAATTGTTGCACGCGTAAAGCCATCTCTCTGTGGCTCCAAAACATATGAAAATTAAAATAGACATTTAATGCCACAGAAAGGGAAAGGGAAGTTCATGTTAACCTGGGCACTCCATTTACCCTTCTCAAGATGGTTGTCAAGGTAACATTGGCATCAGCAGGCAGTCCAAATTATTGGGAGGAGATCAACCACCAGGAAACGAGAAGCTCTTAAAAGAATGCATTTTCCATAAATGTTGATACACCATGGCACCATACATTGGTCAGTGAGTCATGTATCTTTCCTGGGCTGAACTGATTTTCTGCTCGACCGTAAAATGCTGCAGCAGAAAAGGAGGCTGTTTGTTTCATCACGCAAGTGCTATCAAAAGACTTAGTCTCAATTTCCCCTGTTCTCTGCCCATTGTCGCAATGCCATGTACTCCACAAAGAGCTGAAGGAGGCAGTCTGTAAGACCATGCCAGCTTTGACAGAGTTTGAACCCCATGTTGTCAGTTCCAATCCAGTACTCACCAGCCACCCACACCATTGGAATTGCTGTGGCAACTTGTATGTTTTTACCTGCATGTGGTAGCCTGGAGCTATACATGGTGATGACAGAGGCTCTCACATTCTCTCGCCCACACAACTGAGCAGGAATCTCTTGCTGTCTGCCATTGGTGTGTATCATGAGGATTTACCAGTCAATTTGCAAAGTATTAGGCCTTGTTTGACTGTAAGGTCCTGGACTGGGTCTTGAACCCAATTCTTCTGCCTCCGAGGCAGGGACACCTTCAGAGCCTTCCATTTAGTCCCAGATTTTATTGAATTCAAATTTCATTATCTACCAGAATGGGATTTGAACTCAAATCTCCAGAAAAATTGGATAGGGATTCAGCTTTAGCGATGTTACCATTATGCCACTATATCCCCTATACATGTTTTAATCAAATCGCCTCTGAGAATCTCTACAGTGCAGAAAGAGGCCAGTCAGCCCATCGCATCAGCACCGATCCGCTGCAGAGCATCCCACCCTGACCCAGCTCCCCACCCTATCCCTGTAACTCTTATTTTACCATGGCTAATCCAACTGACATGCAACCCCGGGACCATTTAGCATGGCCAATCCACCTAACCTGCACATCTTTGGGCTGTGGGAGGAAACCGGAGCACCCGGTAGAAACTACACAGACACGGGGAGAATGTATAAACTCCACACAAACAATCGTCTAAGGATGGATTCGAACCTGGATCCCGTGACGATGCAGTGATAAGCATGAAGCCACCATGCTGCCCTTAGTCTCTAAGCTCCAATGCAAACCAGCTCCAAGCCCAGTCTGTCTAACCTTTCTTCATAAGACTACTCCAGGAATTAGTCAAGGAAACCTTCCCTGAACTGCTTCCAAAGCATTTACACCCTGTTCTTTAATAAGGAGCTATACTGTCCACAGTAATCCAATTACTTCTCTTCACTGTATAGATAAAAGCTCTAGTAGTGAGGCCAACACCAGGCATATAATACTCAACAGCAAACAGCTTTCAATCAAGAGAACAGGCAGCATATTTGAAAACTGACATGCAGTGTACCTGAGAGGAACAAATTGTTCCATTTTCCTTTGCATTGTAGAAACAATCAGTGTAGAATTATGGCAGAGATGAAATGACTATTGTTTATGATCAGCGAAAACACCAGAAGCCAGCAGGGTCAGCGATTAGGCTGACTGCCCACTAAGTATTGATGAGGCATTATCTTGCTGTGTTTTATTTCTGCAGGCTGACCTGATTAAGAGCGACATCAACAGCGCGATCACGGACCTGAAGAGTGGAGGACGGAGTGAGAGGCCGAATGCTCTCAGGTGAGTGCCTGGAAAGAAGGAGCGAGTCAAACACAAAACTGGACTTTATTGGCCTCAGTGTCTCCAGTGGCTAAAATGTTGCCCAATTACATGTGCTGGTTTCCATTGTAACACACCCCTGGCTGACCTCCCACTTAGCCCACTCTGGGAACTCGGGCATATCTGGAAATCGATTGGTCCCATTCTGTGCCCTGAGATTTACATTGGCTTTGAGTTGGGCGACAGCTGTAATGTCGCCATTTTCTTTCCAAGTTCCTCCATGGCCTGGTTCGCTCTCTGACCTCTAACCTCTGACCCTCTGAGGGATGATGACCTGTGAGGAGGATGTAGAGATGTGAATGGAGCACTGCAGATGAATTATAATGTGGATAAATGTGAGGTTATCCACTCTGGGAGCAAAAACAGGAAAGTATATTATTATCAGAACGGTGATGGATTGGGAAAGGGGTGGAGGGGGAGTGGGTGGGGTGTTGGTGGGTAGTGGTGCAACGAGACCTGGTGTCCTTGCACACCAGTCGCTGAAAGTAAGCATTGCAGGAGCAGCAGATGGTGAAGAAGGCAAATGGTATGTTGGCCTTCATCATGAGACGATTTGCGTACAGGAGCAGGGATATCTTGCTGCTATTGTACAGGAGCCTTGGTGAGACCACACCTGGAGTACTGTGTGCAGTTTTGGCCTCCTTATCTGAGGAAGGATGTTCTGACTTTGGAGGGAGTGCAATGAAAGTTTAACAGACTGGGATGGCAGGACTAACATATGAAGAGAGACTGGATCAGTGCAGATGATATTCACTGGAATTTAGAAGAATGAAGGATAACTCATGAAGGATGTAAAATTCTAACAAGAATAGAGAAGGTAAACACAGGCACTATAGGATGTACCTGATGACCAGGGAGTGCAGAACCAGGAGTTACAGTTTAAGGATACAGGGCAGGCCATTTAAGATTGAGCTGAGGAGAAAAGTCTTCACCCAGAGAGTGGTGAGCCTGTGGAACTCTCTGCCACAGAAAGCAATTGAGGCTAAAACATCTAATGTTTTCAAGGAGGAGTTAGATATACTTTTTAAGGCCAGAGAGACCAAAGAGTATGGGGGAGAAAGTGGGAACAGGGGACTGATTTGGATGATCAGCCATGGTCATACTGAATGGCAGGGCAATGTTCCCATTGACAGGGAGATTGGCAACCGTTCATGGGATGAGGGCATCGCTGGCTAGGCCAGCATTTATTGCCCATCCCTAATTGCCCAGAGGGCAGTTTGAGAGTCAGCCATATTGCTGTGGGTCTGGAGTCACATGTAGGCCAGACCAGGTAAGAAGGGCAGTTTCCTTCCCATAAAGAGGATTAGTGAATCGGATGGGTTTTTCCCCCAACAATCGGCAATGGATTCATGGTCATCATTAGCCTCTTAATCACAGATTTTCATTCAATTCAAATTCTACCATCTGCCCTGGCAGGATTTGAACCTGGGTCCCCAGCACATTACCTGGTTTTCTGGATTAAACAGCGACAATACCACTAGGCTGTCACCTCCCCAAGATTGTAGAGAATTGGCAAGAAAGGGACAGAGGTGGAATTATGAGAATCCTTTTTAAACGTTGGTCTGTTATGATGATTTGGAACGTACTGCTTGAAAGGGGATGGAAGCAGATTGAATAGAAACTTAACAAAATGAATTGGTTAATGCTTGAAATGGTTGCAAGTTGCTGGACTGTAGGAGAATGGGAGTAATTGGATTTTGCTTTTGAAGAACTGGCATTAGTGAGATGGGATGAATGGCGTTCTGTTGTACTGTTAGTATCTGAGAATGTGATCCATTCATGGTATTCCTCATTTGTAGACTTAACCAGGAGAAAATGAATGAACAAAGGACATCCCCACCTTCCCCACCCCTGAACAGGGCTCCTAAAGCACCAGCGAACTACAACTCCAGCATAGTGCAAGAGGCAGTACCATTACCTCCGCCATATACAGCCACGACTCCAATGGCCAGCACAGGTGAGAAACAAAACTCAAATTCTTTTCTGTTTACTCCAGCAGTGTCCCTTAATCAGCCTCTCATCTTGTGCCCTCTCTGAATCTGAATTAATCTTTTGTCCAGAGACAGTAGGAACTGCCGATGCTGGAGTCTCAGATAACAAAGTGTAGAGCTGGATAAACACAGCAGGCCAGGCAGTATCAGAGGAGCAGGAAGGCTGACGTTTCGGGTCTGGGCCCTTTCTCAGAAATGGAGAAGAAGGGTCCAGACCCGAAATGTCAGCTTTCCTGTTCCTCTGATGCTGCCTGGCCTGCCGTGTTCCTCCAGCTCTACACCTTGTTATTGCACCAAGTCCAGCTATTTTTAATTTCTTGTTCCCGTTTACAAATCTCTCCTTGTCTCTGTAACTTCCTCGACCTACAATTCCTAGCAGACCATCCATGATTCCCCCAGTTGGAGCCCCCTGTCCATCCCCCGGTTTATAAACGTTCTACAATCAATGGTTAGGCCATCAAGTTTTCAGCTGATAGTCTTTGCAGGCCACTCACAGAATCTCTACGGTGCGGAATCAGGCCATTCAACCCATCAGGTCCACACCAGCCCTCTAAAGAACATCACACCCAGACATATCCCATCCCCAGTAACCCTACATTTCCCATGGTTAATCCACTTAGCCTACATGTGCTTGTACTGTGGGAACACCCAGAGGAAACTCGCCCCGATACAAGGAGAACGAGCAAACTCCACAAAGACAGATCCTTTTCTCGACTATAGGTTTATTCACCAAATGCAACGTTACCAAATTTCTACCAATCTCTGACTGCCTCAGAAGTCTGTCTTTATATTTTCTTTTCATTTCAACATCTTACACACAACTGAAGGTGTTTTTATTTTCCCATCACTAAATCACCCATGGTATTTTTTTTTTCACTAATTTAACCCCAACAGTAAATTACCCACGTCCTCACATTGACTAATTTACAGGCAAAGCTGGTTATGGGCAACATAGGTCATCAAAGTGAGGGAGAGGAGGGGGCTAAATGAACATGAACTGGAGGAATAAAGCACTCTTGCCCCTGTGGTGCCCACCTCTCTCTAAATGTATGGGTGCATACCGCTCCAGGGATACCCGAGCACTGTTGTAGCTGTGCAGAGGGGGAGGCAGCTGGCACCTATGACCCCCTCCGTTGTCCACTGCTAGGGCCTGTTAATAGCCAACCTGGGCAGAGCCAGGAATGGACACAAAGAGGTCAGATTCTCTTTACATGGGCTCAAAGTATCTAATTAAACAATGCCATCTACCTAGCAATACAGTTAACATACCAATGTGCTAGAAAAGTTCATGTAGGGTCCTCTTGTGGCACAGTGGTAGCGTCCCTACCCCTGGACCAAAAGGCCCAGGTTCAAGTGCCATCTGCTCCAGATATGTAATTACATTTCTGAACAGATTGATTCATAAAATAGGTTAAACTTAAAAAAAAATGTTCAAGTTAGGGCCTTCTTGTGATGCTGTGGACCAAGAGGCCCAGGTTCAAATCCCACTTGCTTCAGAGGTGTGTAATGGTATCTCCGAGCAGGTTGACTAGGAAAATGGGTAAAATAACAAAAAAGGTCAAATTAGGGCCCTGTTGTGATACAGTGGTAGTGTCCCTGCCCTGGAACAGGGAGGCCTGTGTTCAAGTCCCACCTGCTCCAGAGGTGTATATTAACATTTCTGAACAGGTTGATTCTAAAAATAGGTTAATAAAAGGCAAGTTTGACTTGTTGTACAGGAGACAGTCCTACAGAGAAGTGACTTCCCAAGATAACACTCGTGTTGTAAATTTCTGGGACTCTGAATTCTCCTGAGAAGCTAATTTAACATCAAGCGAGTAAATGATTCTCAGTCACTCAACCGCCAGAGAAATCGTTCAGTTTGTACAATGAGAATCGTGAACTATACATTATTAAAGCACAAAGTTATTTCCGATGTGGCCACTTTGTAAATGCACACAGCCATGTCACTGCAGGGAGCTCATTAAGTGTGTCACAGTCAAGAATACACTTGGTTCCATATGCCTGAAACAAGAGACAACAAGGTGCAGGGCTGGATGAACACAGCAGGCCAAGCAGCATCATAGGAGCAGAGAGGCTGACGTTTCGGGCTTAGACCCTTCATCAGAAAAGGGGGAGGGGAAGGGGGTTTTGAAATAAATAGGGAGAGAGTGGGAGGCGGATAGAAGAGGGATAGAGGAGAGGATAGGTGGAGAGGAAACAAACAGGTCGAAGAGGCGGGGATGGAGCCAGGAAAGGTGAGTGTAGGTAGGGAGTTAGGAAGGGGATAGGTCAGTCCAGGGAGGACGGACAGGTCAAGGGGGCGGGA